ACCCAACCAGTAAAATCTGATATAAGATTTAAAGTGTACCTTTAACCCCTTTTCACTAAAAACCACATCAGCATACAGCTCTGGATGCTGATATGAAATCATCTTATATTCACAAGTTAAACCAAAATATTTTAATTTGAATTACAAGTATTGTTTTCCACTTCCTGGTCCTCTTGGGCATTAGTGATGTAATGTAGCATTGCATTCTGGGAAGGTGACATCTGCAGAGCATTGCTGGGAAATCTCATCTGTAATCTCGCGAGATCTCGGGGAAAGGCATTTTCCTCCACTGAGATGATGTGCATGGTCACATGTCCTAGTCACATGTGGCAGAGTTCCAGGAAGTTAAGGGAGATCTAGTAACCTGCCCTTAGTTAAAATGGCCGCTGTGAGAAGAACGGGGAGGAAAAGAAAAACAAGGAATGCAAAGAATATCATTATCTAGAAGTGTGTGTGTGTAGATTGTCATCACTAAACATTTCTAGAGGGGTCTTTGTTGCTACTTTGAAGATATGGGTAAAGGTCCGCATTACATGTCATTATTAAAATGCTTAATTTGAATTAAAATGATCCCTGGTGATCCTTCCATGAAGGATCTTGTTCAGGCATCTCCTTGTATAGTGTGGCAACACTACACAATATGTGCTCTTGCGTTGTCACCCTGTCACATGGTCTTCCGATGGAGACTACAAGTGGCTGTTCCAGCACACACAGCACAGACATAAAAAGTGCACGTAGACAGGAAGTGGCTGCAGGACATCAGCAGTGGCAAGTTGCACAAAAAGATTAGAAAGAAGTATTTTAGTTGAAGATAAAAAACATGTTTATGGTACGCAGAGCTTCAGCAAATGAATACGGTTTAGATGGGACTTGTATCTTCTAATACCTCTGTACATGCTGTGAGTATTTAAAGGAGAACTATGAGGTCAGGGCTTTTCCACATAGTTCTCCTTAGGGTAACGGGAGGACATAAACTAGCGTCCTCCCCTCCCCCTAGGCTCAGTATATAGGGAGCTACAGCTCGCGGTATACTGAGACGCCGCAGTCGGAACGGATCCCGACATTACTGTCCAGATCCACCCAGCTGCATGATTGACAGCTGGCTCTGGCTGTCAAGAGGCAGAGCCAGCTGTACCCGCCCCCTCCCCCGTCCGTTCCGCCAGTCAGCGCTGGAGGATCAGACAGGGGAGGGGGGGAATCCCTGCAGGGAGCCGTAAGTGACAGTCACGGCTCTCTGCAGGGAGATGATTGAGAAGTGAGCGAGCGCCGGTATGTGTTCCCTCACTTCCAGATCTATTGAGCCGACGCGTGACAGTCTCATTGTCACAGGTCGGCTCGAACTATGAGGTGAGTGAAAATCACTCGCCTCATAGTTCTCCTTTTAAGGTTGCTGTGAGCTGTAGTGTGCATGTTACACATAAGCTGCCCCTTTTTTTTTTTAAAGGAGAACTATGAGCGGCGTGATTTCCACTCACCTCATAGTTCTAGCCGACCTGTGACAATGAGACTGTCACAGGTCGGCTCAGTAGATCGGGAGGTGAGCGAACACATACCGGGTTCGCTCACCTCTCGATCCTGTCACGGCTCTCTGCCGTGACAGGGGGAGGGGCTGGATTCCCCTCTCCCCGCTCCAATCTGCCAGCGCTGACTGGCGGAACGGATGGGGGAGGGGGCGGGTACAGCTGGCTCTGCCTCTAGATAGGCAGAGCCAGCTGTCACTCACGCAGCTGGGCGGATCCCGTCATCTACGTCGGTATCCGCTGCGGCGTCTCAGTATATAGGGAGCTGTAGCTCGTGGTATACTGAGCTTAGGGTGACGGGAGGACGCTAGTTTGTGTCCTCCCGTTACCCTAAGGAGAACTATGGGGAAAAGCCCTGACCACATAGTTCTCCTTTTAATGCAACTTACCCTTCGCAACCTGCCAAATGTGGGTGAAAAAAAGCACCCTTGAAGGTATTGTGGAGGAGGGGCAGCAATTAAATGTCTGAGCAGACACTATAGCCAGGAACCGCCGTCGTTCCCTTATTATGCGGCATTAATGGTTTGACAGCAAAGATTAATCTTTCCAGCTTCCGCGCAAATCATCAACGAAAAAAGGTCAGGCGGCGGCGTCCTGTCACACGGGGGCCCATCAACGTGTCGTCGGCAGGCAATAAGGGCCGATCACCGCGGCCCCTCCTGACTCCCCGCGCGCTGTTGACGCTCGCTCCGGGGCAGAGCTGGTGCTGGAGAGGCGCCTACGGGCGACGAGGGAAAATGATGTTGCTACGCAACCGGGCCGGAGAGGCGGCTGCCCGTTTCCGAAGAGCTCTCTTGCGCGCTAACCGCGCTTGACAAGTTGCAGGACTCGGGGAGGATCGATTAACACTTCACGCAGCCGGAGGGGCTTCTGTCTGAGGAGCAGAGCAGGAAAACGGTCGCCATGAGGAGGATTCGAAGCGCTTTCTTCTTTTATCTAAAAGGTTTCCCCAGTAATTATCCACATCGGCCCACCTGATATATATATATATAAAGATTACGTCGGCTGTATCAACATGCTTTGTCTGAGTTTTTAAATTTTGATTTGAAGCAATAAAATAAGCAAGTTTGTTGTTTATTGGTTTTTAGATATTTTTGTCCGTTGTTCCCGCACGTTGTCACCCCGCTCCGCGCCCTGCGGAAACATTGCATTTGTTATCTGTCAGCACAACGCATACTTCAAGAGCCTGTGCCAGCTAGTGTTGATGCATTTGCTCCATTAAAGGAGAACTATGAGGCGACTGAAAATCACTCAGTTCCCGATCATGTCCCTGCAGAGAGCCGTGACTGTCACTCACGGCTTCCTGCAGGGATTCCTCGGGTA